GAATGGCTGGGCCAAAGCCAACAGTTTCCTGATTGGTGAACTGTGAAATCGGCTGTAAACTCGGGACATTCTAAAGACTTTCCAAACCACAATAGTGCTGGATTCACCGGACAATCCTCATTTTGACAACAGCGTCAAGATCCATTGGCTGCCGTATCATACTTCAGGTTTCTACCATGAATAAATATGTTTTATCATAGTCCATAGATAAGATAACATGACTCATGTTATCTATAGCTTCATGTAGGTATTGACAAAGCGGATACTTCACAAAAAACAACACGCGGATGTGTTACGTGACGACCGTCTTCCTTTCCGGTTGATTATCAATTACCGAAGGTCAAAAGGAAAGGCTGCCAGCGCTTCCACGGCGCGTCAGGGTCGCCGAGGTAAAGCCCCAAGCGATAGGCACACCGCCAACCAATCCGAGTGGACGTAACAAGCATGAATATGGAATCACCATATATGGAATCACCATACATTGTGCTCCCATAGCTATAGCTATTTGCATGGGCGCCGCCACCGGGGGGGACGGGGGGGACGCGTCCCCCCCACTCTCAGAATGGAAGGGGGACGTCCCCCCCAAACTCATTACGGAGCGAGCGAAGCGAGCGTAGTCTTTCGTAGGTTAACGGAAATTTCTGAGTATGCCATGGTCACGCTTTTGCTAGACTTATATCTCAGCAACCACTTGACCGATTTACATGCGGTAATTTTTGTAGGGTAGCACTAGATTCATTCCTTCTAACGAGCATCGGACTATTCCCGATGCATGTGAGTGACCCCATATGCACGTGCCACGTGAAAAACGAAGAGGTGTCAGTTTTGTAACAATTTCAATATCTCGGCAACTACTGGGACGATTGCGCTGAAAGTTGGCATGTAGGTAGGTATACCCACTAGGCAATGCATATCCGTGTGCCACAGTTGGGGTGCTGCTGCACGTGCGCACATGCAGGGGTCGATTCCAGATCTCGAGAACGGCTGAACCGATTGTGCTGAAATCTGATACATGGTTAGGGACCGGTTAGTAGGGTGCCGTGCAAAAGTCAGTTGGGACCCATTTTGCACGTGCGCACGTGCAGGGTGCCGCTTCCAGATCTCGAGAACGGCTAGGCCGATTGCGCTCAAATTTGGCACATCGTTAGGGACCGGTTAGAAGGGTGCAGTGCACAAGTTAGTTGGAGGTATCCCCTCGCAATTTCGCACGTGCAAGGCCCACCCCACCCTCTCGCTCGCTCCGTTGGTCGCCCCAAAAGGCGTTTTACTTATTGTTATCCTACTCGAAATTTGATTAGGCCCTTCGGTCAAATGAGACCATTTCAGAGCCGCAAGTATGAAAGAATTAGTGGGAGACATTGGTCGGGGCAGCCATCCCAGTGAGCCACTTGGGATGAACCCGACCAATTGAACAGGCAGCCCAGCCCACTGGCACTCACTGCACCCGGCAAAGGACTATAGCTCCAGTGGAGCCATTCCCGCATGTGATAGAGTTGCCCGTTCAGCCCGGAGCAGGGGGCTGCGGCGTGGAGGAGAAGGATTTGACTGTCCTGAGGATGGAAGAGATGGAACGGCCGGTGCCGAATCTGAGAGGGTCCAGGAGGCTTAGATACTCAGTATATGGGGTGTGGGCCTACATGCATTGGTCTGACCCCTGCCACCTCGGCCAACAAAATCTCCAGCTCTTATCCGACCTGTCATCGCGCGGAACTGCCGATTTTTGATATCGTGATCAACGTGTGTCGTATAACACGACTGGCCGAACACGGGCCTAATATATTTCGTCTAACCAGCCAAGAGCATGACTTTACACCAATCCGACCTCGAAGTCAAAATCCGAACATTTTCGAAGACTTCAACTCCGACTCTGGCCAAAACTGGCCAAAACAGTCAACTCCGACTGATTCCGGCTCCGACCCCACACTTCTGCAGTCACGCTACACTAAATTTCCAGCTTCTAAGAAATAAGCTATACGGTTGACAGGACCACAAAACTTTGAGGCGACTTGACTACTTGACTTGGTTTTCCTGACCTAAGGTTTTCTGGTATCAAGCTTGTTACACGGGCTGCAGAATTCGTATTTTGGAGCAGTTTTGCCTAATGTTTTTTTTTGCCAATTTTCGCGGCGCTTCGCGCCGATTCGTGCACAAACCAAAAAGAGAGATTTGTGACTATACAACGCCCCCTCCCCCACGCGGGTATGCAATATGCATTACCTATGCAACATGCATTATCGATCATATTAGTGGCATACATCAGCAATTATACCGTGATAGAACACGACTACGAGGCTTTGCCGTGTCAAACTGAATGGGACATCAGATGTGCATGTAGGTAGGTACTCGGTGGGAATGCGGTCTATAGCCATTACTTTAAGGAAATACCTAAACGTGGGTGTCTATTTCCGCCAAGTCGAGGGTGCCCGAGCTCTCCAAATTCCTCGCCGGCTCGGCCGGCTTGGCTTTGGAGCCTCAACAGACCGCGCGGGTCAAGGTCACCGCTAGGGCGGCGGTGGATTTGCTGCGCCCGGGCACCCCCAACTAAGTAGAAATCGACACCTATGTACCTAAACTACTTTCCTCAAACCAGTTGTTTTGCCACAGTTTTATGAGTTTTTAAACTTAAAATGGTCAGGAAATAATGAATATTTGCAAAAGGATTTTATATTTATTTTTACATCACTATTTTCCATCTTTCGTAGAGGCTACTTACCTATATTGCAGCGGAAGCTGATTACGCGTTGACCAAGCATAGTACGTAGTTCAAACCAGCTGAATGCTGATTGGCTAGCATTTTTCCGTAAGGGAATGGATTCCTCGGTAAGAGAATGACAAAGTGTAATCTATGGGAATGACTTCAGTCTTCAAACCTAAAATCGATACCGATATATTTGGCTAGGGTGATCGTTGGGCCATAAAAGCTCCTGATTTGTTCTCGTCTCAGCTCAAGCTACCAAACTGTTACTTCAGTTCAAAACCCTATGTTAAAAGTGGCATATTTGCTTTAAACGTTGAATGCATCCGACCGAAAAAGCTACGGTAAGAATGTCTACTTTTGGGTTTTCAGTCGGTCAGTCCGTCCCCCCCAGTCAAAAATCCGTGGCAGCGCCCCTGGCTATTTGCAAACTGATCAACAGGAATAAGTAGCGTGGCTACAATACATCAGCATATTTTAGCATGGCAAAAACTATCAGCTGACCGGAACGCTAAGAAGTGCCGTTTATAACGCAGTTAAGCGTGTCTATGGTTAGCAGTTGGTCGCACCATGAAACTGTGTCACTCAGTCTGTGTGATGCGGCACAGCCTACCGCCTCAGGCAACTGATTGTGAAAAAGTGGAACGTCATTCTGTAGTCAACTGCATAGTACGCACAATGAGCATTGAGCACATGGGACATCGCGCCTCAAAGGGCGGACAAGTGAAGGACAATGTGGGACGCGGATGAGCAGGAAGTGAAGATAAACAGGACGTGGTTGAGCCGGATGCAGCTCGTTAGGTGAATCAGCGCCTGTTGTTGATGCTACCGCCTCCCTTTCCCGCCTTACCCCCGCACCAGTCGACACGAACCGCCAATGTTTGATCTAACGGGTCTGATACGGCTATTGTTATGTTTGGATGATGATGAAGATGATGATTTGTGATTTCAAGACGCCCGGGCTTTAGAGATATCGGCGCCCTTTTAGTGATATTCGAAGTAGATGAACATTGTATCTGGTGTCAAAGTATAGCATATGAAGCACTGCTTACGGTTAATACCTACCGGTAAACGTCATTTACGCTGATGTGTGATGTTATCAGCCCCGATATATGGCATCATCATCATTGATGTGTTATGCCATCAGTCCCCATGTGGCGTGCTCAACTCAGTGATGTGTGACGTTATTAAAACTGATGGCGTTGACATCACTGCCGGTGTCACATCACAAACACCATTACATGACGTCACCATCACTCTTGCATGACGTCATATCGCTCCACAGGTCAACTCGGCGGGGGAGACACCCCAGCGTGCTTTGAACACCGTTTTGTGTTCAAGCGAGGCGGGTGGCTGGCTCGATGGCTCTCTATTGAGGTGAACGGTCTATGGAGTCCAATATGGATTGGCCGTGTATGTGGTCGCTGGCTCACACCCCCACCCCACCCCCACCCCATCCCCCACGTGCCCGGGTGGGGGGTCCGGGGTGGGGAGGTGGTCATCCGATGGTATTTCAGTGGGGCAACGGATACAAGAGTCGCTACTCGAGTTTGAGTTTAAATCAACAAGATTGCAGTTGTACAAGCCTGGCCCAGGCTGAAAAAATTGCAGTCCCAATTTCTTACTACGTTTCATAGGGGGTGTCCAAGGCCTATGCAACGAATGGATAGGTAATGTAAAATTTAGATTCAATTGCTAAGCACAACAAAAACTATTTACTCTTAGCCGCTTGTATTACAATATTACGTTGACGTTAAATAAAATGCCCTTTAAGCATACGTTTTCACCTATCTCATTTCGTCTCCCCGTGACGTATTTATTTCAGCGATCTAGTGGAGCGTTGTACGTCAAAATAAACAAACTATATAAGTAGTCTACGATCCTAACAAAAACAGAGGACAACGAACCTCCGTATACCTACAGAGCAATGTCAGCACCAGTCCCCCGCACCAGTCCCCCCCCCCCCCCCCCACACACACACTCGCCCTCGGACCAATGGACAGCCCAGCCCAGCGTCTGTGACTGACACGGGACACACTCCCAGTGACAACCAACAATTACCGTAACAAGGACGCGCACCACTACCGAAAATAACTGAACCGGCAAGGTTTTGACCGCAGCCGCAAGGTCCTGTTCTGTTGACATATAATCATACAACATATAATTGTAGAAATGTATAAACAAACATACATGAATTATATATTTTCTGGCCTCCCGTCTTGCTTTCCGCCGCTGCGGCTGCTGCTGTTGTCACCGATGACGTCACGTCTTATGCTCCACTGACGTCACGCTGTGTTGCAGGTCACTACCGAACGCCGAGCGGTTCTGGTGGGATATAACTCCTGAGGAGCTGTATCCAGAGGATAGCAGGGCGGTACCGGCGCTACTCAAAGAGCTGGCCACCGAGCCTATCGACGAAGTTGGTGAGTATCACTTGTCAGTTACAACTTAGAGCGACGGCAATCCTAGGGCGGTTGGAAACGTGTGTCATTGTAAAGTTAATTGAATAGGTATTTACAATGAGGGTGGGATAACATCTACTATAAGAGTTTAGAGTTGCATAATTCATGGGCAACTTCACAGGTCAAATTGAACTGCAACTCTATATAAAATCAAAAAGAACATCTGCACGTGAACATGTACTTGCTGAGCCGTTTCACTTTGTTTCCACTTCCTAGTTCCTATACTTCATTCGTGTACCCAAACAGCTTTCCGCACGATATCTAGACATTTACCTATGCCTACTGGTCAATATTATTCCCTATGCGGTTGATTCTTTCACCCACAACTTAGCACTCCGATCTACTTTAATAAATTCCAGCAAGTGCCGGACTCAAGGCCAAACATGGGTGGAGCTTTTCCAGGGAAGTTGGTGGGGCAAAAAGTCGTCAAACTCACATGTCCGATTATGAAGTTGAATAAAAGACAAAGCTATTCAATGCGAAAAAAGATTAGGTAATTTGCAAAGCAACAAAGTCTTAGAAATCAGCTTAACCCGCGCCCAAGTGGCGGTCTCAGCCAACTTCGCCCTAGTGGGGGGGGGGGGGGGCATACTCGTATGTTACCACCCACCTCTAACTCAAAAACTAAGAGGGCTAGAAAGACGCGGTAAAAAGCAGTCGATAGCTCTCGATGCGTACATTTGAAAGTATTTCGGTCATTTTTCATCTTAGAGCAATATTGGGGTCACCAGAGGTCATCAAAGGTCAAAATTTGCGAATAGTCATTATTTTTTTTCAGAAAACATGCCATTATCTCAGGAAATATGATAGCTAGGAAAACGCTTGGAAAAACAATCGATAGCTTTTGAGCTCTTCTTTTGATAAGCTCATTATAAAAAATGACCTCAGGTCAACGGTTTAGCCTCCAGAGGGCAAAAACTCCAAAAATGGCTGTTTTAAGGAAAAATGTTTTTCGACAATAACTTTTGACTTAAAAAAGCCAGGACATTTCTGTTGCCAGAATCGTGCTCCTCTCGCCGAGACGCGTCGAATGAACTATAATTTGACCTCAGGGCAAGGTCATGACCTGACCGGAAAAGGTCATGTTGCATAACAGTCGATGCGTCTCGGCAAGACAAACACAATGAGGCCAACCCCAGCGTTCTATCTCTATCCGATCGAGAGTTATAGGCAAAAAACTGTTCGTAGCCTCAAATGACCTCGGATGACCTTTCTAGAGGCTATCAGCAAAAACTACACCTTGGTCGTCACGGGTGGTCCAAATCATTGTGATTCTGAAATATTTGGACTGTTCCTATGCGTACACACGGATCTAGAGGCATTTTCGTTTTTCTCCATTGACTTATAATGGAAAGGTCACGCCAGTGACCTGACCTTAGGTCACGGATATAAAAAATCCGAGATATACCAATTGTAGGCGCCCATAACATCATGCAATCCACCAAGTTCCAAACCTCTCTGACAAACACTGCAGGCTGGACATGATTGCAAACTTTTTTAGGCTTGGTCAGTTAACTTGACCTGGTGACCTGACCTGACATGACCTGGGGTCAAAAATTTCACACTGCATTGTCCAAAATTGATGTGCGAAAGGCTACCCCAAGCGGCGCGGCGCTACGCGCCGCGGTTTTTTATTCACACGCAAAAAACGCGACAGGGTGGTAACATATGCCCCCCCCCCCCACTGGGGCGAAGGTTTTAAGTTGGTGGGGAAAAACGCTTATTGGTGGGGGGGGGGGGCAAAATACCAAGTCGGTGGGGCAGCCACCCCACGACCTGTATAGGAAGCTCCGCCCCTAAGGCCAAATATAGGTGCTGGCTGCTCACGAATGCTACTCTGATATTTTTCTAAAGAATTTTCCACTCCAGTTAAAAACCACCTCACAAGGAGGTACCCCGGCTCTGAAGATGCCAGTAACACGGCGAGAGCGCCCCGGAATATAAAAAGTGCCCTTTGAAGCGAGCGGAGCTGATTCCTGCCTGGCCAATATCAAGAGAACGGATCGCATTGATCTCCTTTCCTATTCTGGACGGATTTGCCGCTTGATGCCCGAATACAAATGACGATGCTCAGACCTGGCTATTCTTGAGCTTCCGTCCACCGGGCTAAGAAAAGGCCAATTCATCTAGGGAACTTTCGTACGTTTTTTTGTGGTATCCTTATCATCAAACAATGACTACGCTCCACGCCACTCGTGTTTCTTTTTTTCTTGAGTTACATTGAATTTTTTACAAGTATTCTTGCTACTATATATTTCATAAATTTTATTTCTTCTTGTTTTGTTTCTACCTAAAAAGTAAAGACCCAATGCTGTAGTAATTTCGGTGATAAGGTTCTTACAGTAATAGCATATCAAACACTTTCTAACTATAGCGATTTTTTTCAGTTCAAAAGGAAGGCGGCACACAGCTGAAGCTGATCCTCACCATGAGGAACGAGGCGGCGGCACTTGTCAAGCCCATGAGGTGAGATGAGGCAGATGTAATTATAATTGACTGCGCTGTGTCACCTACCCCACCGGGCCGTGGCGGGTAGAATCACTTCACCAGGCGGGGTTAGCATAATGGTTAGCATAATGGTGCTGAGAGGATGGGATTCGTGACATATTGCAGAAGCTTTTTTACATGAAAATGCGACGTTTTTTTTGCGTTTTTAACTACCTGCTGCGTACCTAGGTGTTCTAATTCAAGTTACTCGCCAGAACAGGGTTAGACGTTGGACTCTACGCAAAGAAGAAATGCTAAGTATAGGTACACAACCAGCCTCAGATGACGGATGTTTACCAGTCGATAGGCAATTGCCCATGCGCTCCACCGAAGCAACGTTTTCCTCTGGCTATCTGCTTCAAAAAGCCACGGTAATAAGATGTTTCCGGAACTGCTTATTTATCTACCTCACAAAATCGAGCGTTTCTGAGCATGCGGGGCATAAGAGGGAGCATAGCATCTTCGCTATTTCTGCATTTTGATTGAGCTAGAACTTCAAGAGAAAAATACTTGTATGTACCTATCGTTTGGACCGCCTTACAAAAGGATCCTGAGAATGCAGAATCCAAGCCTCAATAACACATCCTTTGTTTTTTTTTCAGGTTTCCACGCGAGCAAGAAACGTTGCCAAACCATTTCTATTTTTCCGACTACGAGAGGCACAACGCCGAGATCGCCGCCCATCACCTGGACAGGTAAGCGAGCATTTTAATGACGTCACTGGATCTTTGACGTCATCGTTTGCCGGGCAGTCGCCGGAGCCGAGTCGATCGCGATATGTCGGCAGCATTCGTGACAGGTTTAGCGTCATGATGCTTTATAAATGAGCCAATTTTCCGTGATTGCGTTGTTGTGTTAGCTACCATACGGTTCCTGCCGACCATAGGCTGAGAGAGCATTACCTACAGGGTGTCCCATAAGTTCCTTCTCACCTAAATTTTTCTTTTAGAGGCTCTCTTATTTAAAGCCACGCTTAATTTATTTTGTAACTGAGCTTTTGGGGTTGCCATGGCAACTGTGAATGTGCTCCACAGTAACTAATTCGTCTAGACAAAATATTTTTTGCCAGAGAGTTCACTTCCTGTGGAGACGGCTTACGCCGCAACATAGAGGTCTCCGATACGGGAACGTCTCGGTATTTAGTCCACACTGGGCCATTCACGACGGTTGAGGGTGATTGAGGCCATCCAGTATGTAGCCAATGTCTGTCGCTAACTGGACGCACAGTCAACAAGTGACGCCGATGATTTGTCGGGAGTCAATCGCTGCAAGTTTACGCTCTTTTTTGTCAGCTTTCACGAGTGAGCCATGTGGCCAAAACTGTGTGGCGCGAAAATGGCCGTCAAAAAGGTCTTAGCGTTAGAAAGTTGGTAAACAGGCTTTTCAGGATGCATTACCAGCTGTCTAAGAGTATCATTTCGGGGTACCTAACTCAAGGTGACTTAAGCTCTACTTACCGGAGGGCTCAAAACAGTCAAAAACGTCTTAAAATGGCCAAACATGTGTTTCGTTATGCCTGAGGCTAAAAAACTGAAGGGCCGATGGCATCAATGTGGTCATCTGGACTACCTAGTCCGTGCTCGAGATAAACCACCGGTGCAAACCCCAAATCGGTCCCATATGGGCGACGTAAAAGGCTTTTATGTCATCCCGCTTTATTCCTATGCAAAAGGCCAGAGTCACGGTAATGTGGGGTAATATGCGTCCAGACACTGATCACAATGCGATTGATACTCCAGAAACAGTCTTGGGACGCAGAATGCTTCTCCAAGAAGATCTAGTAGGAGTTTCAGCTTTCTAGCTTAACTCGAACCGCAAATATGGCCACATCTTTTTAGGAGAAAATGGCATCCGGGAGGTCGTAGGCTCATCTTCAAGCAAGACAGTGCATCAGTGCACAGGTCAAGCAAAGCTTAGAAGCAGTGCCAGGAGACTGTGATAGGCGTGTGTGGTAAGATCACATCCCAGCCAACTCATCGGATCCAAATTTCATAAAAAATATGTTGGGAATATTGAAATCGAGGCTCGTCGAAGCGAACCGGTGTTTCAGCATTGAGGAGCTCACGGCGCATGCCAAGTCAGTCTGGGCTAACTTCAAGCCTGTTATGCTGCCAAACATGCCGGTTGGCATGTCGCAGCATGTATTCATGTGTTTGCCTATGAAATGGGGAGCACATTGAGGGGTTATAAACATATCAAAACGCAATGTACTCTGTTTTACATGCAAATATAAGGTGAGAACGAACTTATGGGACACCCTGTACATGAGGCGAGCGATGAACAACTGAACAGCAGTACTCCAACCAACTTCATGTCTTGATAGCGCGACATGCCTTGGCTAAATAGGTATGTAATTTGCAAGGTTAGACATAATTTGCAAGGTTACGTACGATTATAAATCGAGGTATTCAGTCATTTGAATGCCGAAATTATTTGCACGTGCAACGAAATATTTTACATCGAACCATCGTCAATCTATTTCATATTGTGATCTATACGACATGCGTAATGATTTGTAATTCCTCCCTACACCAGAGACTTGTCCAGTGTCCACATTCCTATCCTTACCCTCGCCGCTTATTATCCAGCTCTTATCTCTTAAAGCTCCGCCCCTTATCCCTGTCCCTTGCATTCCTACCCAACTCTACTGACGAGTACGCCTATTGTGCCCTGCAGGATTCTGGGGTTCCGTCGCGCGCCTCCTGTGATCGGGCGTCTGATGAATATTACCACCGATCTGTACGCCAAGGCCACGGGCAAGCTGCTCAAGACGTTCTTCATCTCACCCGCGGATAACCTGTGCTTCCACGGCAAATGCAGGTTAGTAGCTAAGTGAAAAGTTTTCACTGAAAACCGACGTCGGAGGCCAGAGCCTAGCATGAGTCTCGCAGAATGAATCGCTATGTCGTGAGGGGTCGTACACCTACACAATACTAGTCGGGTACTTCTGTCTTTATATCATATTGTGACCATATTTACTTACTACCCAGAGTGCTGACCGGTGCCGGTGCAAGCAAGTGTCTAGCCTCGTTGATGAACCCATTCCTAGTAATGCCAAGATACCCACGTCAATGACGAACTTGCATAAAACAATAATGTCCGGGAGTTGACGACAGCCTAGATTCGGCGGTTCCTGTCAGTTCCTATTCACGCTAACTGATCGTCGCTGGGACCACTATACAGTATCAGTACATTTCCTCTGTCATAAATGGAAAATAGCGGTGTTGATTAGAGAAACTCTTCAGGAAATGAGGTGAGTCACTCCGTTCGCTTGCAGTGCCAATCACCTACGATGGTCGAGCCACTCGAAAACAGGCTGCGTCCGGTGCCGAATGAACAATCTCCCCGAACGGCCCATTGCAATGGGCCACAGCAGAATGCAGTGGAGCATGGGAGAGGAAGCGTTCCTTTGGAGCCATACGTTGTGCACGCAGGATTGGAGGATGCTGGATCGTGACGTCCTTATCATGAAGCGTGTGAGCACTTGTTGGTGACACTTATCGAATGCTACTTTGTGCAAGCATTTCAATCACGCTTGCAGATCACGGTCGCTAAGCCCCAGCCATAGTTGCACTATCTTATTCACACAAGCTGTAATGATGAAGCCCGAGGCGCAAGACGACCACTCGAAGGACGGACCGATCCCTAAACTATATCCGTATGCGTTTCATGTGCGAGTCTCTAAGTGTGGCGACCGCCTATCAGATGTCGCAGTACGGCGTATCGCAATGGCTCCCGGACGTAGTTCTAGACACCAGATAGCTACCGCCCACGCCGATATTGGACGGCGTTTAGTGAGGTACTTGACACCCGCGCCGTAGGTCAGGCCAAGAGAAACGAACACTAATTCAAAGTGGTCGGTCTACAAAACCGGTCCCAAGAATACAGTAGCATTAGCCGACAAATTACCGGTCCAGTCGAACACGCTCAGGTGTTTTCTGTCCTGACTATGGGCGTCAAAACGACCATTCTGTGGGCTCAGGAACATTGGTCAACCAATTATCGATCCCGCGAACACAACAGCAGTGGGGGACGGGGAACTGAAACCGAAAAGCGAGGACCAAATATCCGGGGACGCAAGCAACAACGATCGGCCAAACAACCACCGTATGAAGATACCTGTTAGGTCCCCACGAGGTCGATTGGGTTGTGCGTGTGCCATCTAGCTGGTGCATTTTCCCCATAATGATGGGTGGTGCCCGCACCGCACCATCACGGTTGTGGAGTTGTGCCACGTTTACCAATTTGATACAACACTGGACGAATGGCTACAGCCCGTATCACGACTGTGCACTGTGCAGTCGGTGACAGATTGGAACAGGGTGAGGAGAGGGAAGGGTAGAACGGAAAAAGGGGAGGTGCATGCCATTAGTAGGGTGACGGATGTCACACCAACGTTCCACCGGATGGGAGGGTACACACGAACCGTTGAAATCCATGGCCAATCAGATCAGTTGACATGGCATTGCGCTTTGTGCTTGGTTCCGTGACTGCTGCTGCAGGATTCACGCTTGGTGAACCAGTGCGAACTACACAAAGGAAATTTTTGCTGTCACTCTTGATAATCTGGCGCCCTCCCTGATTTTCAGACGTATTTTCCCGTGCGACCCCTTTTCATCAAGTTGCTAATTAGTAAGTACTACGATGCAGACCATGCGATTTGGGGGAGGGGGCTCCCCCTGTATCCGCTCCAATCTCCATAGCTACTGTGACCTGATCCCTTCTTCCGCATTCCACATAGTTACTTCTGTGGCACGACCTATCCCATCTAGCCCCTCGCCTAAATATCCCCCTAATCACCACCTGCGAGCTGAACCCTTCCTTCGCTTCCCCTCAGCCACTATTGCACGACACGGACCACCCATCTGACCCCCTGCTCCCCTTATTCCCCCATTTTTCATCAGTTACGACCGTTAGCTGACCCCTTCCCCGTATCCCCTAAGTTACTACTTCGACACGGGCCACGCCAGCTAGTCTCTCGCCAACGTCTCTTCAATCAATACCTTCTGTGATCTGACCTCCTTCATCTTCCTTATAGTTACTACTGTGACACGGGTCACGCGATCTGCGGGAACCCGGACATGCTCGAGGGCAGCTTCGCCGCGCTGCTGCCACACTCTGACGACGCCGAACGAAAGACGTGGAGACACCCGTGGAAGAGGGCCTACCACAAGCGCCGGAAAGCAACGTGGGAGGAGGGTGAGTGAGAACGCTAAGTTACCTGATGTAAATACGAACCCTAACGAACCTTGAATCACAAGCTAGGAAGGCAGCAAGCAGCATTGCTCGCCAGTACACCACGCCTTTTGCTTGGGCGACAGTGATGCATACGGTGGCACGTAGAGCGAGGTAGTTTTGCAGGATTGCACGGTTCATGCCACTGAATAATGTTACTACGCCTTTTGGTGACCGAGTGACGTGCCGCCGCATACATGACATGGCCAGCTGGGAGTGTGTTCTCCATAGATGCTGACACGATACTGCTGCTGACAGCCACGTCATGAGTGCTTGAAGTGGAGGAAATACGTAGCACTGACGATGTCCATAGTCACAAAATAATTGTCACCGAAAGTGTCTCAGTTTGTCTAGCAGCCTTTTCATTTGATGAGCAGCGGATCTTCTGCTAAGATTGTCTAGTTAATCCTCCTATACACATCATGATTGTCACCTATTCAGCGGAATATAGCCCGTTACACTCAAATTTCATCTCTCGCAGAAAACTTAGCAGACTCACTTCCACTATCTTGTGCGACCTTCTACTCGTAAGCAGGACATCAATTGTCAACAGTGCGCATCTCAACTGTATTGCGTTGTTCCATGACAGGAAGTGATTATTGACAATTGTAGATACAATTAAACGCAGGCGGCATGGCACTGCGACGCAGGCGGTATGACCGTCTATTCTTGCTCGCACGTCACTACGACCTAAGACACCTATAAACGTCGTTACGTCCTTTATCGTCAGACGAGAATTACTGTGAAATGGTGCAAGAGATCCCTCCGTACGACAAGGGACGACGTCTGTACGACATTATGGACATGGCCGTGCTGGACTTCCTGATGGGAAACATGGACAGACACCACTACGAGACGTTCGAGATCTTCGGGAACGAGACGTTCCTGCTGCATCTCGATCATGGCAGGTAGGTCAGCTTGCAAGGAGAGAGACGGTGGTACGCGAGGTTGAGTTACGGTAAGTGCAAGAATACCTGGCGGGTCTGCAATCTCAAGATTGCCCTGAGGGGTTTCCAGGGTCCTTCATACTTCCTCTGCTTCGGAAATGCATAACAATTTCCTTTTTCGGAAATACAAAACAATTTCCTAGTGCAACTATCTAATTATATAAGTGCGAAGTACGAGTATAGGTTCTTAGATGTCCTTCCACACACTAATCGGAAACACCGGTAGCAATAACACGACATCATTCTGTAGTGATAAGGGATCCGGCTTTGCGCCCAACGTGCTTCCTCAAACGGTAACCACGCTTGCTTTGCTGGTCCACAGAGGGTTCGGGAAGTCACAGAAGGACGAGCTGAGCATCCTGGCGCCGCTCTACCAGTGCTGCCTCATCAGGGCGTCAACGCTGCGGACGCTCTACGGGTGAGTGTACCATCCGTCAGCTCGGCTTAGCAATCCTCATACCCTCATCCGGACTCCTAATTCAGTTCTCAATCATCTTCGAGTTCCTTGCTCCGTACACAGGCTTTCCCACATTCATATTTAGCCCTATCCTCACCCGGATCCCTTTTTCCATCTCCAGTGTCTATTCCCCTTGTTCCTGATATTTCTCGTCATCACGGCCCATGTTTAGCCGCCCTCGTTTCTCAATAGCTAGTTACTCCCGGCCCCTTTCCCAAAGCCCACCCGTTCCATGCCTCCATTTTACTCAGCTCTTCTCTTCAAGCTTCCTACAGTCTCCCTCAGGCCCACCGTCATCAAATACCAACGGACACACACATTATATAAAGTTATCCTACATATTAGTGGAAGTTGGCACGGTGACCAGGCGTGACCAGCTGATAACTCAATTTGTCCCTGAGGATTGAGGAATGCCATCATTCGACCGAACTCTGCCTGCTCTCCCGCGTGCCTCGTCCAATTGGATATAAATCGGACTCAGCGGCAACAAAACGCCGCCTGATCCGACATAACTGTGGCGAAAATGGCCCGTAGATCGTTCTTACTTATTCGCGCGACTGCCCTGGATTGGATAGAAATCGAGGCTTTGATCAGGCGGAGATGAGTTACGGCTGTCAGAAGGCCGGCCTGCATCGAATGGGAAGAAGTCTAACGGACCGACGTTTCGAGGGCATTTAAAAGGGTTGGCGGTTGGAGGTTTTGAGGTAAATCAAGGACGCACGTTCTTGACCTGTAACTAGATGAGATGAAGGTACCCACATCTAATCGCCACCCATATTGCTCAAACGAAACATTTTTTTATTAATTCATTTCACCGGGTTCATCCGTAATTTCAATTCGTCCATACGCTCCAGATCCACGAGTCATTTCCAGCTATCCCATGGGCGATGAAATATATCGTATCGTACTCGCATTTCAAACGATCCCCGCGTTTCATCTCGCATGTTTCGGACCTGTACGTGATCTGCATTCCTCGGATCTTCCACATCTCAATCACACCTCATAGCAACATATCGTCTGTCTAGATCCGTGTCTAGCCCGCACCTCACATGATGCATCACGTGACCTGTTTCCAGGTACCACACGGGCCGTAAGCTGTCGGACCGACTACGAGAGTCACTGTCACGTGACCCACTAGCGCCCATTCTATTGGAGAAGCATCTGGTGGCAGTGGATAGGAGAGTTGGCATAATACTGCAGGTAAACTGAACGTCGGGACGCAAAGACGGGTCGAGGTTGTGGATCGGTCATGTTACTAGATGCATATCGTCCTAGGGGCATGCCATTTTAGGCAGCTCATTTCAGGTCACATCAAGGAAAATGTCAGCGAAGACAAGTCAAGAAAGATGTTGTGTGGGGTTTCATGAGATGAGCTGGTTGTGCTTGGTCGTGTAATATGCTAATGGTCAAGTCAAGAGAGGGTTAAAGACGTTGACGGTGGATGGGTATGGGTAGGAGGCATCACGATGCTAGCCGTCGGCTTACCACTCAACCGAAGCTCGTTGATTGACCGACTGTTGTTGTGTTTTCAGGTGGTGCAGAAGTGTCTGGACGCCAACGACGTAGCCGATACGGTCATCTATAACGACTTGCTAGTCTGAAGTCATCATTAAGTCGAATAAGAGAGTCCTTAGGAGTTTGGTTGGGCCTTGGACGGTCCTCAGGCAGGACCTGGAATGGGACGGAGGTCTTGTCAGGAGTTTTTTTTTTTAGGCCAGATCTGTGTCCTTGAGCCAGGTCTGAAATGGTATTCATGTCGAGTCAAGAAACCCTAAGGGACGTATGGGTTCCATGGGAAGTCAAGAACTGGCCAAGGGCTGGTCCCCGGGCCAAGTCAGGTACCGGCCTAAGCCTAAACTTGAGACGTTGCCCAGGTTTGATCATGGACCGACTTCAGGTCAAGTCAAGCTCAGGCCAGAAGAATCGTAGTCAGGACAATGCCGAACGCTCCCTCTCGTCTATCGTTCGTGCTGGGCACGGTTTGGTGTCATCACGACCCCTCCTTGTTGGGCTGTTTGCGGATGTACCCGTTTGCATGTATGTCTGCTCCTCGGGTGCGTGTGTTCAATGGGTCAGTAGGTATGTTTGCTGTTCATACCAGGTGTGATGTGTAAAGGTGTGTCGCATTCTGGGAAAGCAGTGCGTCCACTACTGGATTATAGGACAGTGGTGGCGCTTTCGTATCGGTACAGAGGCATTTCGGGACCAGGCAGGATCTTGGAATAAGCGCTACCAGTCAATGAAGCGCCAACATAGCCAAGTTTCGTCCGCGAGGTTTCGTCTAGGATACTATAGAGACTGTCTAGGGGGTAGGGTAGGTCTGGAGCGGCTCACCACTTCTAGGGGCCAGAGTTCCGCGTATCGGTCTTTCAGGAGGCTCGGTCACTGTCCCGCTGATCGAGCGAGTGTGGGACGCTGTCATATGCGGAGCTCCCGCTAAACATATCGCGACGGGGGCCAATGTGGGTCGATGGTTCGGCTATGGACGTGATGTGCTGTACGGTTTTAGAAGCGTCGCCGAAAGTGAATGTGATCGGCGAGGTTGTCACTGCTGCTATTCTGTGACAGTTCAAAACCAGCGCTGCCATAACACTGTTACCATTCAATATCGGTAATTGATACGGTTTAGAATTACGAGCTGAAAACTAGAAACCTATGAGCGGTTTAGCTCACCAGCGATAATATCTAAAGAATCGAGTAAAACGTAGTGAGCAGTCGACAATCCATTCAAGCAGAGACCCTTTGGCATATCGCGCTCTGAGCACGGATATTGGTTCGGGAAAAGATGCATGCTGAAGAGGTTCGTTTAAAATACCAGCGCTGTAAAGAATTGCATGTCGTTAGCTCTGACCAAAGTAAGGTGAGAGTGGAATAGAAACACGAGGTCTTCCTGAAGCTGGTCGTCCCAGCAGTGGCGTGTTTCGTGCCGTTACAAGATCGCTCTGTTGATGCATTTCAGTCTCCTGAACTAGAACTAGGCGGGCGGTGGCGGTTCCATATCCGGTGTCTGGAAATTGGAAATTGAACAGGCCACCGTCTCAGAAATGAGGGCGTTCTGGCTTCAGAGTTCAGTGCATGTTCCGTTGTCCCAACCAAGTCAGTCGGTGGCTCTTGGAATTGACAAGAGTGTTACTTCAATACAGACAATCGGAAAATATAGAAATAGAGTAGGGTAGCCTGGGGCAAGACGCCCCAGATAATTTATTTTGCTACATAACTTTTGTCCCACATAACCTGGAAGGCCAAATTTGTGCTCAATGCGTTCTTTGGACATTTTACTTTAAATTCCACCCCTCAAATTCATTCACTTTTGATCGGACTCCCAGCTAGGAAGTGGTTTGTGAAGCAACTGCAAATAGGGCGTTTTGCCCCAACCCCAGGGCAAAACGCCCCACGGCCTGGGGCAAGAAGCCCCATACTCTAGATTAAAGATTAAACATGCTAGTTGACTAAATCTTATATGAAAGGTCCGTTAGACCTTGGGAGGCATGGCAATGAAGTTAGCACCTTCCATCCTATCAGGTGTTCAGCTACGACACTATTGTATGAGCAGGTTTTTCACCTGCCTCATAAGGCCAAATAATAAATTATTGCAATGCAAATGTTAACAAAATACTTCCTTTGCCATCCAGTTGCTGAGAAAAGTACATATAAATGCATAGAAACATACCGTTCGCCAGCTACCGAGCATTAGGAAGTGGGTAGTCCGAACAACACATGAGGTAAAACGCCCCATGGGGCTTTTTGCCCCGCGACCTACTGGGGCGTTTTACCCCATCACGTAGTTCGGTCAGAGAACAACGCCTTGCACTCCAGGAAGACATAATTTGACACGAACCAACCCGGCATTATAAGCGTTAGACAATAGTTGTTCAAAATACATAAAAGTCTTTAACCTGATGTGGACGATAAAAGAACGCCATGCTGCATAATCTGACAACAAAACATAAAAATCACTCCAAAAACACATTTTTGGCTATATCTCCTTAAAGAGTCATCACAATTTATTTCCAGTCTGCTCATATAATGATCGTATAGTGCACGTTTTATAGAAGAGAGGATGTTTCCCCAGAACCTTGCCGGTTCCGAGAAACATCGGTGAGGCGTTTTACCTCGGCGGGGCGACTTGCCCCGGTCTACCCTATATATATATATATATATATATATATATATATATATATATATATATATATATATATATATATATATATATATATATATATATATATATATATATATAATCGATAATAGTCAGCGGTTAAACTCGCTATATGCTCAAATATGTGTCATTACATCCAACTTAAAAGTTCACTTCAACGTTAATTAACAACAGTGTCGAACCACACCGGGCTAAAATGAGGAAATTCTGCCAGCATTTTCCTAGCAATGTGCCATGGCTGTAAGCGTCAGATACATATCCAATAGCGGCAGTGTTTATAAAAAGTTCGTCTTGTGTTCGCCTTTGTGGCAAGCAGTGGCAGGCGAACAGTCGCATGGTAGATACTACAGCGGCTACCACTGTGATATCCATATAATGATGTGGCTCTGTCTGCTATGCCGGAAATCCCCAACATGAAACAGGGTTGCGCAGGGTGTGTAAATAAAGCGGGATTGCGTGGAAGAGCAATGGGGTTGCATGAGCTTCTCACTGTTCCTGTGTACACGTATTGGTTGGTGTGTGTCGGGGGTGTCTGGATGAAGTGTTAACCGCTCCCTATGGGGCGATCCACCAGTATTGCACCAAAGTGTCCGCGGTGGCGTGGGTATTACCCCAATACGTCGCCTGAATACATGCTGTGTTGTTGCCAGTGCGTCTTTGAATGCAGGGGATGACCAGACCACGTCAGACTTTCGCACCAAGATACTGATATTTTCCACAAACATATGACATCGCCAAGTCAACACGGACTATTGAATCATGCTTACTCATCAAGGCTTCGTCACCACGTAAAGTCTATCTCGCACTTCTTCACTTCATTCAACGCTCGCTTCGAGGTCACACTCTCGCGCACTCAACCACAGTTCTTAACACACCTTCGCAATGAGGACCTCTTCGGGCAAGCTTGTACCGGGTACGCTACAAGTCGACCGTATTCTGTCGTTTCATGGCGGACCGATGTCGTTTCTCCCTTAGGCGCTCCCGAGTTGCTCGCTCATGTCTGCGGAGGCAAGTCAGGTCGGGTCAGGCCACTTACAGTTGTGGCGACTGGGTCAGGTCAGTTCACTTATAGTTGTAGTGTCTTAGGCTGGGTCAGGTCGGGTCATTTCCAGTTGTAGTGGCTTAGGCTGGGTCAGGTCAGGTCACTTACAGTTATAGTGACTTAACTAGGTCTGGTCAGGTCCCAGTAAGGCCAATAAATTTCGTTAGTTACAACTCGTCAGTGGGCTGAATAATAAGTTGGGATGGTCAGTATTACAAGGAGGAGCGGAATATCTCCTTATCTTCCTTTGACTCGCGACTAGTTACAAAATTACTAGCCTGATTCCAGCCAAAGAGACCCAGTAAACAAGCGTGAATAGGACAATGGATCCGCAAAGATCATTAAAATCATATAAAGCAAAGCCAAGGAAAATAAGCGAAGAAAAAAAAAAACGATTAGGTAACATATGAATTGTCAGATGCATACTCACCGATAAGTTGACTAAAATGAAACACTACTTACTACTATAGCATACCGCACACATCTCGGCAGAGTGATTTAGGAAGGGCTTGTTCGGATCCCAGGAGGCCGAACGGTTCACATGTTAGGTCGAACGACTGGCAAGCTCGGGTAACGCGATAGGAGTGAAATGCTCCGGTCGGTGACGCAAATGTCGTTTCGGTATGTTTGGTACAAATGGACAGGAATCCAAGTCACGAGACTTCCCGTGACCAAAAAATAACGCATCGAAGGCAAACAGGACTTCGCACAGCTCTGAACGGACGAGACGAAGCCCAAGCAATGTGGCTCCGTTCAGATCCAGGTGACGCCACCAGCAATGTTGTGGAGGTAGGATTTGTGAAAGAACCCGGCGAGGGCTGGCAAATTATCTACAAATATGGTTCGACACGTGAGAGGCTTGTTCGGATCATAAATAGTTCAAAATGACAATGCCACTAAAGAAGCAATACATGATTGTGGATTGTGATTATAATTTTTTTATACATAAATTTTTAGTCCGAATGGTTGAATGTGCGGATTTGAGGAATCAGAGCCCGCACTAAGCATAGCTTGTTGTGCTGACCCTGACCCCACCACCCGATCGCGCAATTCCAGTTGTATGGCAGAATTTTGCCCGAACGTTTAACGTGCCCTCACGACTGGACACGGTCCCCTCCGCTCACTCACGTTACCTGGCTTCTGTGCGGCCCCTGCCACAGACACGCACGCCATTACACGTAGGAGCTAAATGTGGCCGCACGCACCGGGGCTTGAACCGGGCTCTCACCCGGTTCAAGCCCGGGTGTATAATTCATAATGAATGGAAGGTAAGCATTTTACGAAATGGTCCTGGTGGACCGTGAGATTAAATATTGTTCACCAAGTCACCAGCTCACCTGATAAACAAAGCACTTTTGAAAGTGGCACATGCTTCAGTGTGAAATACTTCTTCACCCATTTAGCCCGGTGACACTGACAACTAATGAACAATGATATTGTGAATCGGTAACACTTACAGTCGTCGATGTTTTTCGATGCTCTCTGGACTGGCTTCTTTGGGCTTCTGCAGCACATCAGTGACCAGATACCTAACAAAGACAGGGAGAGCTGACAGTCAAATGAGGAACTGGGACAATATTAAAATCAGTATCATGCTAACTCGCCTTCCCGGCCACTTGCGATGGCAAAACAGCACAAGGTATTCAAAAGGTCGTCAAAAAATATTCTAAGAACGCTGAATTGCCTACAACAGTCATTCATAAGAACGAAACTAGTACTGTCCTGATCTGAGATTGAGTCAAAGGTCCACTCCAAAGGTCAAAGGTCAAACCAAACTCTAAAGGACATTAATGTCAATTTTCATCGAATTTGACATAGGCATTGACAAATTAGCTCACTACACCAGCACTAATAGAGCACGTATAGCTGGGCGCGTAACCTAGCGCGGCCAGTACGCGGTGTACCGTGCAGTCAGGACTCACCTGATCCTATCCAGGGCGTCAGCTATGTTCAGGTGCTGTGAACGGGTCCGTTCTGAGCGTACCAACAGGTAACCGTCACGCGAGATACGCGATCGGTACTTCTGCAAACAGGGGACATATGTCATGTAAGGTAGTTTCATTTGATTTTAATAACATCTGCAGAGTAAAGGGCAATATTCACTGTGTGTGTAACTATGTGTGTGTCCACTACATAGACCTTCAAGTGATGACTTGGGGGCTTCAGGGCAGGCATACAATCATCTGAGGTTAAAACTCCAATGATAGACTCTGATGCCAGAAATAGAAATGGTCTATTCTAATGCTGAGAATGATCCTGGTGGGTGATTCCAGATCAATATCCACCACTTCCCTTCTACAATGAAGTGGCCGAGCTGAGAAATAAAAAGAAAGCAGCTTGATGCCTTTCTTGCTTCCTGCCCACTTGATATACCTATCAAGTCATAGATAACAAGCAAATTCCAGTTAGCACTTGGATCGCAAAACAAGGCCCATGAACCACAAAACAGAAACCAACCAAATCACCATACAACATTGTTTTACATGCATCTGAATTTTCTTATCTGGTGACTTGAACTGCATTTTACTCACTGGAACCACTACCTACTACAATAAGCTGCAATAATTAATGAACTCTCATGGCTCCAAGGCACATTAAATACTACCTCCCTCACCTGAAGGAGCCCATCCTTGGCTTCCTGAGGCAGCCAGGAGGCAGTGGCCACATGGAACCTGACGTCCACTTTTGTGTTCAGCTTGTTGACATTCTGTCCACCCGGCCCGCCGCTCCGGCTGTAGGAAATCTCCAGCTCCTCTGAAACCAAACATGACGTGTCAGAAAAGGTTTCATCATAATGATGATGACCATCTTTAACTTAAATTGATTTGTGTGTTGATGCTGTTATTAGTGTCTATGGAAGCCAGTTTGGAAAAGTAACTCATGTTAACAGATAGATAAGGACACACAAATCTAGGGTTTTGTTTTTTAGATGATATATGATGAATTAAAAAATGCTATGCAAGAAAAGGAACAACAAATATGCCCCTGAATAGCATCAAAAATGAGGATTATTTCAAGTGGAAAACATAATATTGTTCATCCATTTTAATACTATCTAACCAAATACACTTTCAAGTTTCACTTCAGTTCCATTACACAAATGACGGCGGTACACATGGAGGTCCCCGCTTCAAAAATTAGTTAATCCCTATAATATAGACATCATTCTATAGAGAAACTCATGTTTAGTAAGAATAATGTGGTTTCCAGTTATCTGATCGATAATTTTAAGACCAAAAGCTAACTAATCGTATTCTTACCACGATCTCGGTGGAGCCGCACGACGGTCTGTTGTCAACATGTCAATTGTCGTTCAATACCATTACGCAGAAATGTAGTATCTTCATAAAACCCAACACACTAGGGGGACTGTGGGAAACCGGGGTTTTGGGTGGGGGGGGACTATTTTTTATGAAAAAGTGATAGATATACACAAATAATTTTGGAATTTCGGTTCTGTTTCAAAAGAAGAGAATTCGGTAATTTTCTTTTTCGGTAAAGCGCCTCACGAGATGCGCCAGATCTGTCGACGAATGATAGCGACTTTTCTGAAAAAGTCTTCAGAAATGTTTCGTTCGTAATTATTTTCGTTCGTGCATTTTCTTTATTTTCGTTTTTTGGTCCGTGCATTTTTTTGTCTCTACATATTTTCATTTTTCGTCCAACATTTCTTCGCCCGTACTGTACATGTTTTCGTCTGTGGCCAACTCGTGGCGAAGCAGTGCAGTGCCGAAGGCAATGCCTTAGGAGAGATTACAGGCAATAGTAAATCAAATATTTTTAGGTTAAATGGTTATGTATCTGGCTTCAGGCCGAAGGCCTGAAGCCTGATGCATGACCACTTAACCTGAAAATATTTGATTTACTATTGCCTGCAATCTATTCCTGCCAGTAACTATTTCCTTAACCGGTAGGCAAAAATCAGTAGGTTAGGTTAGGTTAGGTTAGGTTAGGTTAGGTTAGGTTAGGTTAGGATTCCCGGTAGGCAAGAATCAGTAGGTTAGGTTAGGTTAGGTTAGGTTAGGTTAGGTTTCTTTATGCCTGGTAGGCAAGAATCAGTAGGTTAGGTTAGGTTAGGTTAGGTTAGGTTTCTTTATGCCTGGTAGGCAAAAATCAGTAGGTTAGGTTAGGTTTATTTAAGCTCTGTAGGCAAAAATCAGTAGGTTAGGTTAAGTTAGGTTAGGTTAGGTTAGGTAAGGCTCGATAAGGTTGGGTTAGGTGACATCTCTTTGAATTTCATCGAGTAATAATCGCTTTTCTCAAGTTGAAAGTTGTCTGCGCTTTAGACATAACAATATGAGAACCTTGGTATTGTTTGTCATTTCTGGCTGCGATAAAAAATTATGCACGCGAAACGCATCTGATATTTTTGCAGCCTTGATTGTTTATAAAAACAGATTGTGCTCATCCGCCGTAACCAGCATGGCGTCAGCGTCGGTTGCGAGGGGTGAGGAATGTGGTGTTTTGGGGTCAATTTTGCCAGCTTTAAATGGTAAGCTGTTGCATTTTACTGGCAGGGAATGTTAGATAGTTGGATTATAGCATGTTGTGATACTAATTGGATTCATATAATTAAAACGAAAACGCTTGGGGACCTCCGTGTTTCCGACCCAAATGACTCACTGATTGGAATGTAGCCACTGAAGCCTTTGTCATTACTTGGAGCCTGAAAAAAATTAGGACAATGCTCATATTCAGACACAGGAAAACACTAGGGGCTTCAGAATCAGTTCCGATCAGTTGCTGCTAGAAAGAAACTGTGTTCTCTGTAAATTTGATAATTATAATGACAGTTAAACATTGACACAAAATCAGTATTAGCTAGTGTGAACAGCATTTAACTCACTTACCAAAAAATATTCAAAATTAGTCAAAATATCCCTTTGCAAACATCAAAAGACATACTTGGCGCAGACGGAATGTTTTGAGGGGCTCATACTCACCGGAACACTGGCAGTGAAGCTTAGATTGGACCCTGGGTATAGCTTGTCTAGGCTATAAGCACTTTTGAAACCAGATAAGTGCGCTGATGCTCCGGTATTCAAACATTGAGAGTTGCACGAAAACAGCAACCGCCTCACGCACCCCGCGTACATAGTGGCCGCCATGTTTATTATATGGCTGCACTCGTTGTTTTGTTGCTTTGCTGCCAAACAAGGGATTAGGAGAAATCCTTTACTTTCTCGATCGCTAACATAGGGTTTGTTCCCGTCGCTCCTCCAACCTCCTCCAAGCTCCTCTAACCTCCTCTCGTTTCAAAAAATCGTTCCCGTCGCTCCTCCAAGCTCCTCCAAGCTCATCTTGATTTCACATCTCATCACCACTATTTGCCTCCTCCCTCATCCCAAACGAAAGTTGGATTTTTAGAGGAGGCTCTGCGTAGACATATTTGGCGCACGTAATACAAATGTGAATTGTTTATAAATGAGATTTGAGGGAAGTGGAATTGATTTTAGTGATCGGTGAGGATGGGATATCTTTTGATAGTAATGCTCGATATTTATCTTTGGTTATTTTATTAGAAAGCGATTATTATCTATGAATCTATGTTTGCGCGCCATAAATCGCCGTCCGTTACAGCCCGCCAACAGCTGATTTCCTCGCAAAAATGTTCCCATGGCTCCTCTGAAACGGCTCTCCTCCAAGCTCATCCAACCTCATCCGAGATTTTTTGGGAGGAGCGACGGGAACAGACTCTATGGTACACACCTCGTGGGGTCCTTAGAGATGCGCAGGTGTTGACTGTTGGGTCCTCGGAGCCGCCGATATAGGGCTTTAATAGGCACTGGTGTAGACACTCAGAGTTGGGGGTGTGAAACGCTCAGAGGCACCGGTGTGGGCCCTCATAGGCGCCGATGAGGGCCCCCACAGTTGCCGTTATGGGGCCCTCAGAAAGTGTGACCATCACAGGCGGGAAATGCCCCTAGAACTGGCCTCTCATAGGCCGGTAAGAACTCCCAGAGGCCAGTAACGGGCCTTTGGAGACCACCGAGGGGCCCTTAACCCGGCAGTTGCTGGGGTATTTCGCCACCCACCGTTTGCTGGGGGGGGGGGGGGGGCGTTAAACGCCCCCAGCCGATAACTCGAGAACCAATAGGCGCAGCGAAACGCACGAGGCGGCAAACGAAAGAGCGCGACGAGACGCTTCAGATGAATACTTTAAAGTTGAATTTTGAGGTTACAGGTCGGGTCAAGGTCAGGTCAAACACCTGAAATCGGGCTTTCAGTAGCATGGACTTCAGGGCTTCGCAATGGGCGCCTCTCGTCATAAACGTTGTCAAAACGGTGCACAATCCATCATATAAGGCCTACAAGAGTGTCAGCTCCATGTAGGGGTCAGTCAAGCATAGGTCAGGGTCAAGGTCAGGTCAACCGGGTAGGCACATATCCCCGAAAATCAAAACTGATATTCGCAGCCTGCGACACATGTTTTATGGGTAATTTGGGGCGTAGAACCCGATGGTGACATTCATTTTATCGTATGTGTACGTGTTTGGCTCAAAAAGTTCAATTTAAGAAATTTATGTATCATGGTCGTGAAGTAGTCGCGAGAAATTGCCAAGATTCGGTTCAAGATTTTGAAAAATGCAGAACGATAATCAATAATCGAAGATAGCCATTTGATTGTCCATGGTATTGGCAGTCTAATGGCGTTTACGGCATGTCTGTATGTCTATTCTGTGATTTTATATGATTTTTTGAACATATGCCGTTTTGGTCGAAAACTCAGAAATCATGACGTCACTAAAACCTCGATATCTCAAAAATTTTCCGACCGAATTTTTTTAAACTTTGTCACAATAAACTTCAATCAATTCCCTACAGGTACCCAAATTTTGGCGCGCCTGCGGCGCGCCGTTTTTATGCTATGGCCCAGCGAAAAAAGTGGGGGCGTTTAACGCCCCCCCCCCCCAGCAACTCGCGGGTTAACTAGTCTGCAAAAGGCCCTCAGAAGCCGGCGTGGGCCCTTATGGAAATCTTAGTGTGTTTATTTAGGGCCCATGAGATGCTCTAACGAGCCCCATGGGGCCCTTCTGAGTCGAAATATGGCCATCGTTAACCCTCAGCGGTCAAATGGCGCCGCAGGGCCTCTCGGACGCGAGGGTCCCTTTGAACCCGATGGGGGGGGGGTACGTGATATCTCCTCCCGCGGCATGTGATGCGCACGGTGGTTGACGGCCTGGTCCTCTCGCGCGTGAGGTACTGTATTGCGATTTATGGCTGTGGCACTTCCAAGAATGACGCTAGACTGATGAGCGTGGTTAACTTCGCCACCAGAGTCGTCACTGGCCTGCGGAAGTATGACCATGTGTCTCGTGCGCGGGAGGAGCTTGGTTTTATCTCCCCTCGACTGATGTGTGACGTGTCCACCATGACTGTGGCTCAGAAGGCGATTGTGTGCGGGGAGCCCACGGACATCTCATCTCAGTTTGTGACATTTGTGGACTCACGTCAGCGCTGTGATCGTGGTACCCGGCAGGACCGGCGGCTGCGGCCTCCACTCATGCGTACAGCCGCCGGCCAGCGGTCTTTTACCTACCGTGCCGCATCACTCCTGAACAATCTGCCTGCGAGCACATTGGAGCTGAACCCGGCACGCTTTAAGCGAGCAGTCAAGTCGGTGGTGTGCAATAGGGGTGGGGAGGGTGGACGGGGTTAGCATTTTCTGACGTATGAGTGTGTTTGACTGTGTGCCTGCTTTTACCCCTCAACCATATTTCCCGTTGATCGTTTTATCTCTTGACTTGTGACACAGAATAGCCACAATGAGTGATGTGGAGTTGTCAGCAATTGTCAATACATACATACGTGTCCCCTTAGACTCCTAGCTACGCCACTGCTTCATATGCATCATGTCAGTATTTTAGGCTCGCCCGTAGTTTTGATGCGGTGAATGCCCTTACCCTTGCCACATCTCGGGCCGCGAGTACACCCCTCCTCCCACCCAACCCTACCCCTACTCAAGATGTGGCGAGGGTAAGGGTATTCACCGCATCCGAAGTACATGTCTCGACTCTTGGGCCCTTATCTTGAGACAAATAGTTGACCTTAGCCTGACACCCCAACCCCTGATACTTATCGTGCTTCTTTCGTGACGCTACGTGACCTAGCCTGCAAGTTTCGAGGCATGGCTCTCCCATTCCACATCGAAACGCCCTTCCCTTCCCCGCTTCGATACCTATTACGCTCTGGCCACCGCATCTGGATCTGGCAGGGAATTGAAAAAAAAATCCTTTTGCTTTTGTCAATGTCTATATTGTTTCATGTCATTACAGTTACAGCATTAGCCGTTTCACGACGGCCACCTGGTACACATTTGGTGCACATCTGGTGCAGATTAGGTGCAGATTTATTCAAATTAGGTGCACTCGCCGGATAGTCCGTCGTGAAAACGGCTATTAACACGGTTACAGTAGGGTCGCGTGTGCCCTTCGTTCTACTGTAGCTAGATAGGAATATATCAACAAAAGGCGGTGAAACAGCGCCACTCGCAACGGCATTGAGCGATAGCAAGCGAGCGGTTGCATCCTGGAATCATTAGGATTTCATCGGATGCCCACTTTACAACCTGATACAATTGCGAAAAAAAATTAAGTGAGCGCATTACAAGCAGAACGATGCGTGTCACACATACACTAGAAACGGCTAAGGTCAACCTCGGGAATAGCCTTGGATGAGCACGGTGTGATCTTGTTCCTCTCGGTGGGAGGCTCCAGCACGAGGGGCGCCGCGGCAGTACGACCCTCCTCGTTGTCACAGAGCAGGCGCGCCAGACTGGCCTTGCGCACCTCCCGCAGCTGTTCTCCGCTCAGACTGCGCTCGTAGAAGAGCCGGTCGCCTTCGCGCAGCCGCCGAAACTGGTCGGCGATCACGCACTGGAAGGTGGGTCCCACCCTGGCCAAGGGCGCGCGACGCTCTAGCATCCCGCCCACCCAGAGGTCAATGTCGTCGGGGCTGGAGTAGGTGGCTCGGAGTTCCTCCAGTTCCCGACGCTCGAAGGCGGTCTCCAGATCTGTCCAGCTGGTCACCGGTTGTCCGGAGCAGAGCTGACGGATGGCCGTGTATGACGGCAGACCCAGATCCCTGCCGCGCAGCACCTCCACGGCGGCCAGCTCCTTGGCAGCACTGTCTTCGTGGTTGGCCGACTTTCCTTCTGTACCATGAAGCATGGCGAGGAAGGCTGCACTACTGCCAATGCCGCTGACTACCCGTCGTTTTGTCACCGGCCGCGGTCGCTGCCAGAACCTGAACGCAGCCGCCGCGAACTCGACACTCACTGTTGGATCGACATCATCCTCGTCGTTCGGAGTAAGTGAGACAACCCTTGTGGCGTCGGGTCCCAGGATGTGCGGGAGGTATTCTCTGTAGGTGATGTGCTGCCACTGAGCGATCACCACGCGACGCGCCGTCTGGAACAGTCGCTCGTCCTCCCAGAGGGGGTGGTTGCGACGTAGCGCCTCCACCACACGGTTGTGCTCCCTCAGGAGGACTCGGTTGAGCTGATCCGGTGAGGAGCTGGATGCTGGCCGGGGGATCGTCGAGGAACGCGGCTCTGGCGCCCAGAGCCGACGCGGCTCGTGCAGACCGTACCTGTTCGGGATGGCGACTCGCACCCGCCCGGGGGGACCTCGAGGGCCCGGCCGGCCGATCGGCCCCATGGCTCCCGCCTTGCCCATGGCACCCTTGGCACCAGCCGGGCCCAGGTCTCCCTTGTCGCCTTTGGATCCCATCTCTCCTTGCTCACCCTTTATTCCCTGCATTCCTGTTTCTCCTTTCATCCCCTTTTCGCCCGTTTGGCCTTTCATCCCCATCTCGCCTTGATCGCCCTTTTCTCCAACCTCGCCTTTCATACCCTTTTCCCCATCCATTCCTGGGTCACCCTTTTCTCCTTGCATTCCCTTTTCACCCGGTTCTCCTTTCATCCCCTGTTCACCCTTTTCACCTTGCATTCCCTTTTCACCCATATCTCCTTTCATGCCCTGTTCGCCCTTCATGCCCTTTTCGCCCATGTCTCCCTTTTCGCCCATTTCTCCCTTTTCACCCATGTCTCCTTTCATCCCCGGTTCACCTTTCATCCCCTTTTCTCCTGTATCCCCTTTGTCGCCCATGTCTCCCTTGTCACCCTGCATTCCTTTTTCACCCATATCTCCCTTGTCACCCTGCATTCCCTTTTCACCCATTTCTCCTTTCATTCCTGGCTCTCCTTTCATTCCCTTTTCACCGGGGTCTCCCTTGTCACCCTGCATACCCTTTTCACCATCCATTCCCTTTTCGCCTTGCATTCCTTTTTCACCCGTGTCTCCCTTTTCGCCTTGCATTCCCTTTTCCCCTGGATCGCCCTTATCTCCCTTATCTCCCTTTTCTCCATCATCGTCATCGTTGCCGTTGCCGTTGCCGTTGCCGTTGCCGTTGCCGTTGTTGCCGTTGCCGTTGCCGTTGTTGCCGTTGCCGTTGCCGTTGTTGCCGTTGCCGTTGCCTTGCCTTCCCTTTCGCCGGAGTGAGTGCCTGGTGACGAGCCGGACCTCAGCATCTGGCGCTATCTCTGCCACATTTTCCCGGTCTGCGCCGTTCGCCCAGCGGCGCCGCCGGAGCAGCACATCTTCCGAAGAACCCTGCAGCTGGTTGTCCAAGTCCACAATCAGTTTGGGCACCTCGTCGAGAAGGCCACGGTCGTCCCGCAGCCGGCCCCCGCGGAGCGTCCTCAGTCGCCTGCCGGCCTCCTCTGAGCTGCCGTACAGCGTCTCCAGGTCCACGTAGGAGGAGGCGGCAGACAGCGTTGCCGCCGGCCGCATCACGCAGTCCAGCTCGGGCGCCGGCAGCGCTCGCACGAAGCTGACGCACCGGTCGGCCACGCGGAGTGGAAGACAAGCCGGGTGGTTCTCGGCGCAGCAGGCTGGTTCGCGGCCGTCCGACAGTCGGAACGGTGCGATACGCGAGAGGTCCAGGCTCAAGTACTCGGAGAGCGTGGAGGTCCAGAGATTCGGTGATTCAGGGATGTTCTGGTGGACCACCAGCATCCCGGCTTTTTCGGCGTCCGGTAGGGGAGATTCGTTGACGTCCAAACTTCGTGGGGTGAAGAAAATCTGGTCGCCGAAGGTTGGGCTAGCTAGTCGCCCTAGGCCCGTGAGAGCTCGCCCCATCAGAGGACTCTGCGGAAGGGAAACGCCAAGTGAGCTTTAAACTTTAAAGCACGCTTACGAACTGAGTCGCATCGATTTATGTGATTTACTTATCCCTCAGAAAGCTAGGCTTTACGTTAACAGTAAGTGCAAGAAGGCCAATGGTGAACAAGCTGTTCATTGGAGGAATGTGATCCCGATGACCTTGTAACAAGGTAAAGATACCGTTAACCCGCGCCCTGCTGGGGGGGGTGTGTGTTTGAGCACCCCCCATTGTGGTTTTTCGCGAATATCTCAAAAACGGCGGCGCTCCGCGCCGCCGTTTTTGGTACACCTTATCATACATCAATTCTACACATGTTGTAAAAATTTCAGACCAAGGTCATTCAAGGTCAGGTCACCAGGTCACTTGAAGTGACCTCACCTCATAAAAAGTTTCAATATCTGTCATAGCTACACCGAGTGACCGATCGCTTTGAAACTTTCAGCGATTGCTAAGAGCAATAGCATGTACAAAATGTATATCTCAGAATTTTGATATCGATGACCTAAGGTCAGGTCAATTTTGCGACCTCCCCATTGTAAGTCAATGGGAGAAAATTGAAATGCGCCTCTTTTGGACAAAAGACATTATAAACACTCCCAAACACCGAATTACAAGTGTTTTAGACACACTGAACATGAAAATGGTGTCCGTGACCCTTGTTTATGCCCTGAGGTCATCTTAGGTCACGAATGGTATCTAACAGTTTTTCGCAAATAACTTTTGATAGAGGCATGCTAGAGCGATGAAAACGCCTTAGGTGTGTTCAGCTCGACGATACGGATCGACTGATATGCAACATGACCCTTTCCGGTCAGGTCATGACCTTGACCTGAGGTCAAATTTTCAAATTGACCTTTCAAGGTCAACTTATAGTTCATTCGATGCGTCTTGACGAGAGGAACACAATGCCGGTAAAAGTAAGCTCGTACAAGGCTTGGGTCAAAAGTTATTGCAGAAAAACTGTTTCCGAAAAAATCAGTTATTTTTGCAGTTTTTGCCCCCTGCAGGCAAAACCGTTGACGTTAGGTCAAATCTGAGAGAAGAAAGGGCTTTAATAGGGCTATCGAATGCGCTTTTCCGCGGCGCTGTAGCTCTATTGGTTCTCGAGTTATGCGTTGGCTTCTTGGAAATTTTCGACATTCGACCTGGAAATCGGCGAAATTTTGCCTTCAATGACCTCTGGTGACCTGACCTTTGACCTGACCAAAAAATTGACCGAAGTGATTTCGTCATTATTTTTGACGCTGTTTCGAACACCGCCTCCCGCGTATCGCTACGTGGCCCAGGAGCCGAGTTACAAGGGGGGGGGGGGTGTTCAAACACCCCCCCCCCAGCAGGGCGTGGAAATCCAGGACCCCCAGCCGGGCGCGGGTTAATCTCATAATTCAGCGGCCTAAATCACCATCAACGTCTACAGCATATTTAGAAAGACATTCACTTGACTGAAGTTTAACATAGCAATGTCAATAAACCACGAAAAAAGTGAGCGATGAGACCCGTAAGCAGTGCCTAAACAGTAAGCACCCTGGGGAGTTGCTTATGATGCCTGTGGGAGTTGTTTTCGATGCCAGCGATGACACTGTTCGCCATGTCAGCTGGTGTCTGGGGCTGAGCCTACCTTCAGGCTCGTGCAGTGTCCCCCGAGAGTCCGGTAGGCGGCCGCTGATCTGTCGCAGTGGGTCTCAGTCGCCGGCACGCAGCCCGGAATACGGTATTTGGCATCATCAACGGTCTCCGATTCAGCGGGGATCCTCTCCAATGACCTGTTGGCAGGGAGAACAGCGTCAGCGACGTTTGTCCGTCAAGAACGGCTCTCGCGAGATTAAGCGGTAGGTTTTGCACTTTTACATTTCCGGTTATAGCTCTCAGAAACTAATCGATCTACGATGAAGCCATTTTACACGATCATGGCCGGCTTGTTACCCAACAAGTCGATCGGATCTTCAACACTTAAAAGCTTAAGACGACGAAGATATAGCCTGAAATACACTAAATTTTCTAGGTGCAAAACCTACCGCTAAAACCCGCGAGACCTGTACATATGTAGCTAAGTGGTAGAGCATCGGACGCGAGGGTTTGAGTTCAGTTCGTTCAAGTAGTCCAGCGCTCGAATTTCTTTTCTTCTCGCGGACTTCTCTCGCGGATGTTGTATGTACTTAGTGGGATCAGTCTCACGGCCAGATGACGTCAGCTGAGTGGGGCATATTGTGTCCAGCTTTGGTGGGCACGCTAAACCCTGGCATTCCAGTTCCGGTAACCTGAACTCCCCGATCGCTGACTTAGTCAAGAAGTATTTACAGAATAAGTCAAATGTCAACAAAGGAGTCATGAGCGCGCGCATTTATCACGGGACTGGTACTCACAGCGATGTCTGGTTGCCGACGGCCTGGACGGTGTGGAGCCGCTGCAGGCCGATCCTGCCCACCTCCTGCTGGACGGCCGGGTCGCCGCCGGCGGCCGTCGTCAGCTCGGTCAGGTCGGCCTCCTCGGGGCCGGGCCGGCGCGCCGCCGCCGACAGACGCTCCTCCAGCTCGCTCAGTAGCGCCGAGGCGCTGGCCGACCGCCGGAGAGCTGCTTCGGCCGAGAAGGAGCCCAGAGGAGCCCGCAGCACCCATTGGCCGGGCGGAGACAGGAGGCGTACCGGCGCGGGGGGACGGTGGGATGGAGCGCAGATGGTGCCGTCGGAGCCGTCTTCTAGGACGCAGCGCTGGAGATAGTCCAGCGGCCAGCACAGAACTGGTGGGAGACATACGGTACTGCGGGACACAGGCCCATGGCGTAGTTAATCGGAGGAACTCTGACAGACAGTCTTATCAGGCACATGTGTCTAGACTCTAGGCATCACACCTAATTAACTGGTGGGATAGTAGGTATACTCAGCAGGTATACTATTCCATATTGGTTTTCCCATGTTGGTAAAACCGGGCGGTCTTCCAGCGCACGACTAAACAACGGAATTAACTCGAGCTTGATATGCATATCGCGACACCATTCACAACCAAATCGGATAGAAATAGCTGACCGTTCTTACAGCGAAGACATCGTGTTCAAACAAAAAACTTACCTGCTGTCTCCGTAGAACTGGTCGCAGCACACTCCCTCCGTGCCATTCACGAACGTGCAGACCTCAGCGCCGCCGTGCGGTGACACTGCGAAACACTGGTGCTTGGTGACACAGTGGCAGCCATGCTGAGTCTGCTGCTGCTGCTGCTGCTGGGTTGCGCGGTGCTGAATACAGCAGGATATCAGCACCAACTGAAAGAGGCAGGGGAAGCAAGATAGTATCAGAACTTCTCCAAAACTTCGGTGCAGACATGGTCCCGCATCCGAAAGTGCGGATATACGTAAATAAAGACGGATCAAGGTAGCTAAAAAAATTTCAAATGTCGAGATCGGTCCGTAGCCTGACGTCATCATGCTCATGGCGATGGCTGCTGAGCTCCCATCGTCAGGTCATGCCACCCAGGACCACTAATTGTTCGCACTTCGCACACATGTCTAACCCGGCTGCGGTAGCTCTTCTCATCGATCGTCTCTACAGGTGAACGTAACGTGGCGGGAGCACGCTATAGATCAATTCGGCACAGGTCATGTCCCTTTTACATTGAACCACTTGATCATTTCAATAGCTTTATTTTATCCAAATGCTGTTTATGACACAGTTGCTTAGAGCTCTGCTCTTTTAGTTGGACAGGGTAAAAAAGAGTCCCACCCAAGTAGCATGAACCAAAGGCCAAAAGTAGAAGTGATAAACCGTACTCCACAAAATGATACGGCCGGAGCATCTTTAATTCTTAGCCCTCGCCGGACCTATTGGTTTTATACATACGCCGGCCGAGGAGGGGGGGGGACGTACCCCTCGCCGTTTCGCCCCAGGTGGAGCTAGCGCGTCGCGGAAAAAAACGAGAGTGTGCACCGTTACTAGACGCAGAGATTGATATCCGATTTTAAGGTCCTAGGTCAACCGATGACCTCTGAGGTCAGACCAAGTGCCTCAGGGTACAGTTCCATTTTTGGTGAATAATTTCGCAAAAAACGGTCTCAGAGCCGCGATTTTGGCACCATCGTGTTTGCCTCGCTCCGGCGCGTCGAATGATATACTTTTTGTTTGGGTGAGGTCAACTTAGGATGTTGACTTCTGGTCACGGTCAGATCAGCGCCCCCAGGTCACGAAATTGGTCGGAGGAGGTCATGTCGCATACTTTTCGATTCGGCAGGTCTTCCTGAGTCCATTGGTGGCTTTCCCGACTCGCTAGCTTAATTTGATCAGGAGTTATTGACGAAAAACTAATATGACCCTAATGACGTCATAAATGACGTCCTGCAAGGTCAACATTGCAAAAGTAACGCACCAAACCTTGCAAGGTGTGCAGGAAATCAAGATTCTGTGTGCTTGAGATAGTTGGAGATCGTTCTCGGCGCCAGAATAGCAATTTTAATTTTTCCCCGTTGACTTATAGTTGATACCTAATGGGGAGGTCACGAAAATGACCTGACCTCATATGACCTTTTTTCATGCCGAGTTCTTATTAACATACACACAAGAAATACACAACACACAACACGATCGCGGTGCTCGGACCAGCGCCCCGCGGACCGGACCGACCGACCGACGGGCCCCACAACATACGACGGGGGGTCTCGGGTCGGCTCGATGGGGCAAAGGGGCGAAGGCCGTAGTTCTTCGCGTATCTGCTATCGGAATATGACCTCATATGACCTTTAACCCTCGCCCGTATTGGTGTTTTTCCAGCCGCGAACGTATAAGGGGGGGGGGGGGTCCGTTGGACCCCCCCTTGCCGTTTCGCCCCTGATCGAGCTAGAGCTTCGCGGAAAAAACGAGCGCGTTGCCCGTGACGAGAGGAAGCCGATGATACCTAGTTTTAAGGTCCTAGGTCATTGGTTGACCTTGCAGGTCAGGTCAATGACCCAAAAGTCGGGAAAATCGGGACCTGTTAGAACGTCGTAAAGTGTGGATGCTACGGGGTTTTCGGGGTGCTGATCACGAATATCATGTTAGTTTTGATCACAGATGATGTCTTCATGCATTTAGTCCAGGTCGGGTCAGGTCAGGTCAGGTCAACCAGTAGGGGTCCTGCCGGGTATTCCTAGTAGGTGTCAACCGCCTCTGACAGCTTCGTAACATGTTACGAAGGCACCAAAACTACTTCGTAAATGTTCAAATGGTTGCTAAATTCGAATTCAGCTGCAAAAACTGGCCTAGAAACATGTAAAACTCGAAAAAGTGTACCGAGGTCATCAAAGGTCAATGACCTGACCTGACCTTCAGGTGACCTTGACACTCACCCTAATGCATGGGGGCAACACCATATCACATGTTTGAACGCTAACCACGAAAAGACTGTAAACGCGCGGCTAATGCGAGCCGACATACGCCGAATCGCGATTCCGGCCAAACATGGTCTCGAAAAGTAGGTCACAGGTCAAAGGTCATTGGGGTCAGGGTCATGAAATTTTCAGAGTAGGTGTAAAATTGATTAACGCGAGGGTACTGAAAGTTTCTTTGCGATCAGCCGCTTTTTACGCGAGTTATTCGCGAAAAACCATGGGGGGGTCCGTTCGACCCCCCCCCATACGGGCGAGGGTTAAAGGGACAGTATCATCGAAAAAAATCAATGTATGGAGCTTATTTTTTTTTACTAGCATTTCTTATTTTTCTGGATCAGAAAAACATAGTTTGAGGACCGAACTCGGTGAAAAAATATTTTTTTCATGAGCGAGTCATTTTCATGAGCGAACCACCACTACAAGCATGGCCGCCACTTTGGAAGCCTGCGAAATTACTACAGAACTGGCGCAGATAATACATTTTTGACGCTACGCTTGCGCGGCCGCTCTTCTGATTGAGTTGTCGTTGAGATCGAGACTGATCAGATGACGTCATACATATACGTCATACATTGGAGGGAGATTATGATTCAAGCTGGAGGAATTCCTTTGTCGAGCCGCTAGAATCCGAAGGAAACAGCGGAAATGGCCTACGACTATTTAATGAATTTAACGGTGATGAATAAGTGCGAAAAACGTTTTGGCTTCATAAAATTTGATGAAATGACCAGGGTAAAAGTTTTATTACTGGCGGTCAATTCAAAACGGCGCAAACATTTAAACAGTGAAGATAGTGAAGCACGATTCAAAGTGTAGTACCTTTCGTACTTTGAGCGGCGATAGCGGGATAACGGTGTGGAGCTTCGAGGATCGGTCTTCAGTTCCCGGACCAGAAAGGTGGGGCCTATGCAATGTCAAATTTCATCAAAATGGTGATACTGTCCCTTTAAGAAAAATCCGAGGTATGCAAGTTGTGAGACTCCTAATGTATACTAGTTCCTGCAAGTTTCATTTCCCTGTGAAAGCTCCTCTGGCAGTTAGGGCGTTGCGAAGTTGAGGCATCTGAAGACCGTGCAGAGGTTCACTTATGACGTCATAGGTCAGTGACCTGACCTGACCCGTACATGAGGTTGGTGTCAACAGATCCGGCTTGAATCAAAGGTTAGGTATGGCTAAGTTTCAGCCCTCTATCTCCGGCGTGTTAGTAGCTATTGCGAAAAAACCCTATGGGGAGCGTCTCCTCCCCCTCGGCCGGCGAGGGTTAATCGAAGCTTCAGTCAATTTGGGAAAGTATAACGAAATGAGGTACCAAACGCTGGAAACATTTATCTATTTTATTTATATACACTGTGGCTGGAAATTTAGAGTTGATTCAGTGATGACATTATTTTCCATTTTAATAAAGCTAAGCAAGTCTAATATCTTATCACAATCTCCATGCCTGCTTCGGATTATTATTTTTTACGGCTTCTCGTCTTACCATCAATAAAACCGTCTTCATCTTGCGTCCAATGTCATTCGGTTCTCGTATCCGTAGGAGCTGATATTCTTACATATATTCCGGGAACCAAGCAACGTCCACTTTGGTAATTCAATGACGCCCTGGAGATCCACTGGCGCCCTGGAGATCCACCGACGCCCTCGGCTGATCCAACGGCGCCCTCAGCAGATCCAACGGCGCCCTCGGCTGATCCACCGACGCCCTCAGCTGATTTACCGGCGCCCTCGGCTGATCCACCGGTGCCCTCGGCTGATTTACCGACGCCCTCAGATAATCTACCAGCGCCCTCAGCTGATTCACTGGCACCTTCTGATGATCCACTTCAATAAACTCAGCAGACCCCTCCTATGATCTGCATATGCCTGTTTATAAGACGGTTTCCACGCTTCTCCAGGCTCCACCCGCGGCAGTCCGTGGACACTATATGCCGGCGCTGCTGCTGAGGGCGATCTTTTATACCGTCAAAGTGGTCACTGCTGACTAATACATATATTCTCCGTGCTGAGCAGATAAACCTGTTTTGCACTGACGAGGAGCCATGAGAGGCCGTGTCAATAACCGACCATGATCGGTCAACGGCTTGATTGACCCCTACCCCCTCCCCCTCCCCGAAGCTGTACGCTGTCAGCCCCCGACATTTATCTGATCTTGAGGAATGAGCCGGTTTGAACTGGGGGAGGGTGGGGAGGGGGAGGGGAAGGGACGAGATTTTCGGGACAGTACGAGGGGGCTGTTTGAGTTATTTTCGTGAATATATGGCACGGGTGGCCCGATGAGGATGGCATAGGACTAGGAGCATAGTTGCATGAAGTCGACTCACTAGACCACGAAAACACTCATACACTCATTAGGCCCGAATTCACTAGTAAAATTATAAAATCAATGGTCATGCATTTTAACTTTTAAGAGTGTGTTATATAAACTGAAACGTTAATGGTCAAACGATGTAGGTAGTTTCTTTCTAAACCCTTGACCTTATGGGAGAGGGGGAGGGGCGGGTACCCCCTGGAAGTTAGGTGAAACAACAGCGGACTGCAGTGAAACTTTTAGTTAGTGCCCTCGAGCTAAATAAGTTAAACCGCGCCCTGATGGGGGGCCATTTTGCCCCCCCTGTGGTTTTTCTTAAATAGCGAGAAAACGGCGGCGCACAGCGCCGCCAAATTTTAGGTACCTTACCGGGCATCAATTTGACACCTTCACACAAAATTTCAAGTCACAGGTCACCTCAGGTCAGGAGGTATTGAGGTCAAACTGAGGTCA